ACTTTCAGGCCTTAGTTACATCTAGCATAGTGGGAGCACATGGTTTTTGGCCCAGCAATGGGCTTCCCTACATGTGGCAAAGTAGCTCACAGGACATTTTGGCAAGTTGCGGTTTGCATGTTTTTAACTGTGTGTTTTGCTGCTTATGTGGCTTGTTTTTTTTCACTGGGCAAAACGTTTTTTCTGCCGGTTTTTTCTTCTGCATTTGGGATGCCGATAACAATAATATGGCACTAGTTCATTTTAGGTGTATAAAGGTGGCCATATACTATACAATCTCCTTTAGATTTACCAAAGCTATATAAGAGGGCACACCTTTGTATCCAATCACTTTGTATGCATTCAGGTAGTTGATAGTAGATCTAAAGGAGGTTGTACAATCAGATTGTATAGTGAGCTTTACAGACTTTCAGGGACATGCTTCTCCTGTTTTCCATACTACAACTCTGTTCCACATAGGCCCTTATGTAATACCTCAAACTCCTGCACACTCTGCCAAATATGATGAAGGTCAAGATGAAGGTAACAAAAAATAAGATCGCTTACTGGCTGTGTATTTAGTGAGAACAGATAATGATATATAGACTAATGATATATAGACTAATTAATAATGATTGCATGTGTGTACGGAGGTGGGTGGAAGCAATCTCCTGGAGGGGGAGTACAGGTGCAGGATGTGTGTTGAGGTGGTGAAGTACTTCCTTCTAACAATTTTAAAGTAATAAATGCCATATTCCAGGATGGAGCAAGAAGTAATGGAGGGGTTTTCTGTGAACAACCAGGGGCTGAGGTAATGCCTGTCCTAAAAGACAAAGAAAGTTATTTTTTTACTGCAACAAAGGAATATTGATGTTATATTGTTACATAGGGGAGCTGGAATTTAGAAAAAAAGGTGAACTTATCCTTTAAATAAAGATACTTTATTTTCATAGTTGCAGCAAATCACTTGGTTCATGGCTGAAAGTATTTACGGCATAAGTGGATTGTGTTGGATTTGTATACATTAGAAGGTGGGGTAAAACCTTATTTACTGGTGCCTCTACTAATGCCCATACCAAAGTTCTGTATGTCTTTAATCAGTGCCAATTAGCTCATCAGAATATCAACAGCAATACAAGAGAAAGTTCTACTACTGGCAAGTGGGATGAAAGTGACTGTGACAGGCAATTATTTTGTGATAGGCTCTGGGAGGGCTTGTCCATCCTGTTTGTTTAAGGGGAAGGAAGCTTATCCCAAAATACAGCCCTGGTTTCCCCCGGAAATCTATTAATACAGATCCCATGTAATTAATGTGTTACCATCCTTATGTTTATCTTTGCCTGTCCTCCCTGATTAAATGAAGATTATTCCTGCTGGTATGATGTTTCTGAAGCTCAGTAAACTATACCCCCCCACCATGGCTGTTTCCTGATAGTGTGATGTTTGATTTTATGCTCTATAGAACAAGCTGATGGCTTTTTTTTAAATAAAGCAGAAATTTGCAATGTGCATTTCCTTCTAGTTCATAAAATTTGGTCTCAAGGTGGTCTGTGCGGTCTCCTATCTGAGTGATCTCCCCCCCCCCCCTCCAAGCTCTTGGGCCAATTTTCCAACTTCAACAGAGATAGTGGCAGTAATATTATGCAGAAATACTTGCAGTTTGTCTGCTAAGGTGTCCACTGTCAGAATTGGGGTCACTGGCACGGGTTGTGAAGCTGCAGGGGGGTCTGCATCATCCCATGCATCTCAGCAGGTCTCCTGGAGGGCTCACCGGGGATACCGCCGCTGCCCGGGGATGCAGGCCTAGTAAAGAAATGGTTCAGCACCGAGGATCTGGAGGAGGCGGCGTGGGCGGCTTCCAGCACCCGATTTTTCCAATGGGGATGCAGCGGTGTGTGGTGACCTGGTAAAAGGCGCTCCCAGAGCTCTAGGTGTGGTAGAAGCAGAGCGGGAAGGTCGGTAAATCCGAGGGTTGGTGGAGCTCCGGTATTAGGCGGCTGCCATCTTGGACCACCGCCGTGCATTTCCTTTTAACAACCAATGAGTCACCTTTTTTTTGTGAACAAGTGGTTTGGTGGTAGATCGGGGCAGTAGGGGTGTACAGTAAAAGTCTTTTAAAATTATACTAGAAGTTCAGATGTTTTATTTTAAAAATTACAAATATGTCATACTTACTGTTATGAGCGCGGCGTCAGACCCCCAGCCCTTCTTACCGACTTGTGGCCGAAGGACTAGCCAATCTAAAACCGAGCTGTCACTTGGGTAACAATGCCACGCTCAGCTGCACCCTGCACAAAGATGTTCCAACTCACTGGACCACAAGCTATGTGCCGCAGCCTGAGAGCGATTGTTACTGGGTCAGGTTAATTACGCAATTAACCCTTCACACTGCCACCACCACCTTTTTGTACGGAGAAAGAGGAAACTCGCCAATCTTAGCAGTAACACTATGATGTTTGAATAAGCGTCTGTATACACCCTGTCACCGCAGGCAGATGTATGCAGAAGTTTAAAACACACAGTAGCACTCTTCAGAGACAGGGATTCTTAGTTTGCATTAAAGAGCTTTAGAAACAGTTCAACGCTTTTCAGAAAATAGGATTTATTACTCAAAAAGGTCAGAAATGGTGCAATAAAAAAATTTACAGAAAAAGATGTAGCCAATATATATAAATACAGAGAGCAGTAACACAACAGAGAGATCACAGAAGTTTAAAAAGGTAGAGTACTTGCCAGAAGTCCTGGTTTAAGCAGCGTTCAAGTGTCCTGAGCAAAAGGGTACCGTTTCTCCCAAAGTTGGTTTCTGATGTTAAACGGGAGAATATCTTCATCTTACTTCTCTTGGGCCTGACAGCCTCTTTTCTAGTCCACCAGCAGGCATTGTCTCTGAAGCCAAGGGCTAATCACCTCATGTGGGGAGGGGGTGTAGGCGGAGACCCAGGCTAGTACCAAAAATCCCTCGCAAGTTATACCATGGTCAATCACCTTCCATAGGTACATGTAGCATCCTATCCACTGGTAGGATAATATGCAGAATGATATTATGAACGTCCAGACACCAAATATGACATATTTGCTTGGGACGGTTAAGGAGATATCACTTTCTGCTCTCGGGTAGACGTAATCTAGGGATGTAAGGTATCAGGTGATTCGCATTAAACTGATCTGTCTGAATATATGTTTTTTTTCATTGTACATTTTTCCTGCTGTGGGAAATTATGAAAATGTATGAAAAAGTGGTTTCAAATGGGATGTAAGGTTTTACTACTATTCCGGAATGCTTTCAAGTCCAGCAACTGACGGGTTTATAGCTTTACCAGCAGCTCAGAGCAAGAGTCTGCCAGACACACTGGAATCAGCTAATTGGGTTTACAACCATTAAGTGTATCCAGCTGTGCCCGATGTACTCCTGAACTCAGCCACACCAGACCACATGCCATTCAACAGGAAGGGAGGGGGGGGACTGATTTGGAGTGAGAATGACACAAGATGGAGGATCTTTAGCAACATGGACGTCCGTGTCCATATTTGTGCGCACGATTGCTACACTTACATGCTCTGTTTTGCACAGAACAGCCCTGATCCTCCTCCACATGTGCATGCTCGCTCCCGAGCCACCTTTGAGACACAGACATCGCTGTCTATAAGACACACAGAGTGCCTCTCCCCCCCCAAATTCCGCTTACTCGCTGTGATTGACAGCAGTGGGAGCCAATGGCTTCCGCTGCTGTGTCTGAGCCAATGAGCAGGAAGAGACTTGGGAGAGCTGCTCATGCACAGCACTAGATCGAGATCAGGCTAAAATGCAAAAAGGTAAAATACCTTCAACCTTCAGAACCACTAAAAGTGTGCTTTAGGATCTTCTTTTTTAAGCCCTTGCACTCCAGTCACATTAATTAGCTTACCTGGCTAGGCAAAATCCTCCAAACCAACAACACAATGTGCATGGCCGCACTCCCTTAAAAGTATTTAGAGTCAGCAGGGTTTTGACTCAAAAAGCCAACACCCTTTCATTCTAATGTGTTTCATCCTATCCTGGCCTTAGACATATCATACTATAACTTAGGTCAGAATTGGTCAAAACACATCAGTATGGATGTTTTTCACCTTTTATATATGTTTAATTTAGATTATGATGGATTCTAAATGGGTGATGGCTTTTTTTGATTTACAGATTTCTATTGCCACTGTCTTGTGGTTTTAGTTTTGCTGTATTAGAATGCCATTATATCTGAAAGACAGTGCAAGCTGGAAAGAAAAGTGAAGCACTATTTTTGTGTATTTCCTTTATTAATAAACAGGGGAAATATTATGTAGCTGTGTATGTGAATTAGGGCTACATTTTGAGGTCCTCACATCATCACATTTTAGTAAGTGTGTTAAGGTAGTTCATTAATTAAAGTATAACTACAGGCAAAACATTTGTTGTTTTGAAAAGAGTGCAGAGGGTTTAGAATGCCATTCAGGTTTGTATTGCTGTCTGCGTCCCCATAGGGGAGATTCACTCTCTTTATTTGTCTTGTTTACTGTTATCACCAAGCATGAAAGTAAAAGGAAACTCCACATTTTGGGCTGCCACCAGAAAAGAAATAAAGGGGAAATCTTCCAATGGTTTCACTAATTTCTGGTGATACTGTTAACAATCAGGGATTTCCACTGTTTGGTGGTATTTTCTATCATTTGATTATTATTAATAAAAGGTACAGCTTTCTGAAAAATATTTTTGTATATTGTGATAAGTCAAGAATATATTCACACAAAATCATAAAGTTACTGGAAGGTCTGCTTTATAAATGCTTGTGAGAATGTAAGAGGGTTACAATAGCATATATATTGTATAATGACTTTTCCAAATTAATAGAGAACATTTTTTCTTTCAGGTTCAAAGGACGATTAGTTTTCAAGCAAGATATTTATCCCACTGAAGACAATGTCTATCATATACATGTAATTGCCTTGGTGATACTTCTTGTGGAGGTACTTAGAAGAAGTTTATTTGTAATCAACCTTGTCAGTGAAGAATGCCAGCTAAAACACCAATTTATTTGAAGACCTCAACTCCCAAGCGGGGTAAAAAGCCAAAGTTACGTGATGTTTTATCAAGGGAGATGATAAGCCCACCTCTGGGAGACTTTAGGCATAGTGCTCACATAGGACTGGAAGGGCAAGAAGACATGTTTGGGGAATTGTCCTTTTTGCAAGGAAAGTATGATCTGCTTCCAAACTTGGGCCGGAAGTTGACTATGCAGAGTACAGACACCAGTCTCGACCAAGAGTTTCACTCTCATGACAGTGATGGAAGCTTCCGTCCCTTTCTAAAAAATGCAGTGTCTCTTCCCGTCTTCACTGGTACCCAAAGTAAGGAGAGAGCACCTCCAAAACCCCCTAGACTCCACCTGGATGATGTTCCAAGCCAACGTTCTATGTCTATTAGTTATGGAGAGGGACGCTTTCATAGAGAAGAAGAAATGTCCTTCTCCTCTATCTCACAGGAGGAGAGCAGCAGGGTTTTGACAAATTCAGCTTGCTCTTCAGAAGGTTCCATTACTGGAAACATGTTCACCCAAGAACACGGGACAAATGAATCTCAAGAAAAGCCAGATTGCACAGATTCTAAGATTGTGGACACTCCATCTGAGTCACTGTTTGGGCTGGAGCTGGGACCTTGGCCCATCCATCTTGGATGATGTCCTGAGGATAATGGATGGTTACAAAGCTTCATGACATTGGAAACACATAAACATTTTGTATATAGTCGTGTAAGGACACTATTTATTAGTACAGAAATGCTACAAAAAGAACTGGTGACAAAATAGTAGAGTTGGACCATCATCTGCCTACAATACCTATGGATATTTGGTTCTATTATGAAACAGTATTTCATATTAGCACTAAGAATATAACAGTATATTATAGAATGACATTTTGCTGGCATGAACACTTACAGAGAATAATAGTATTTATTATACACATTTCTTTAACAGGTTTAAGAACTAAAGGCAAACTTCAAAATATTACAGACCCCAAAAATTCTCATGGCTCATTCATACCACATGCATGTTTTGTGCTTTCAGTGCAGGAATATTTTGCCCAAATCAATCATCTGCTTTTGGTTTGGATTACAAGAGATGTGCTGCATTGATATAAATGAGAAAAAAGCAAGCTCCAGTTTACAGTTCAATTGACAAATATAAAATGTCCAATAAATTTTGAGCACCTGGTATAAATGAAAAAGCTCATCCAATGTATTTATTTTTTTTTAGAAGAGTCTTGTGTAAAAATATTACTTCAGCTATGTACATTGCAATAATTCCATTAGATTTTTAATGTGTTTTTTTTTTTTATAGACATTGAAGTTGTCAATGCCAGTGCACCGCGATAAGTGACAGGCTGGTATCCCTTCTATAATTACATGATCAATCCCAGTACATCAATATGAACCAATGTATTGCTTTAGACGTGCAGCACCTTTTGTAGAATCTGATCACAGATGGAACTTTTACAGCAGGGCAGTTCAGTGGATGACTGTAATTTGACCTCAAGCTTTGTGCATGCTTCTGGGAAACATGGTAAGCCAGTTACATAAGTAGGGAGATAAAAATTCCAAGAATCTCATGTATGAATTGAATACGGTTGCCATGTTTGCCAGTAAGGTATATTTACAGTTTAGAAAGTAGTAGTAAATTATGGCTGGCTACACGCTGAAATGAAAATAGAAGGTAGTTACATTAAGTTAAAAATAGCTTGCATAGTGATGTGGTGGATATACTGTTTTTATAGATTGCCAGGTTCTGTACTGCATATTAGCTTTTTTCTCAATAAAATTAAGGTAAGTAAAGATGTTATTGGCTGCATTTAACAATTTCAGTAGTTTAATATTTAAAATAATATCCTGCTTTTCACACAGACCTGAGGGCTTCATTGTCGTACTAAACCAACAAAAGGATGATAAGGCAGATGGCTTTGAGTGCTTGCAGTGGCCCTCAGTTAAATTTCTAGAGTAGTCTGATACACTCATTTAGGCCACCACCAAGGTTATATTGGTCACAATGTGACCCACCTCTTCCTGCTGCACCTAACTCCCTCTTGGCCCTTGAGGCCATCTATTTGAAGCAGGTGAAGAAGGAAGGGAGGGTCACTGATAGCATAATAAAGCAACCTCAGTTTTCATGTTTTGGAAGTTAATGTGAGTGCACACATCAGGAGGGTACCGGTATTGTCAATCAGATGATGGCCCTAGCCACAATTACACTTTACGTTCTCAACTGGTTGAAAATATTTGATGGGTAGAAGAAAGTGAAGTCTACTATTTCATTGAAAGGTGTGTGAAGTCTTATAGGTTACCATTAGTAAAGGAGATACAGATTACATGTTTAGTAATGGAGAATTCTAGCTTACCATATATAGAATACAGTGGTAGTTTTAAAAGGTAACTCCACTCACCCCAGAATTACCAGCAAATGTACAAAGTGTTCATGCTATATCTTCTTTTCAAAAGTTCTATACACACAAGCATTGCTTTTTATTCAGTTGTAGACCTTCATGTGAGAACATCAGATTCAGCACATTAAAACAAAACTATTTACAAGCTTTAAAAAGTTTTTGGAACCCTTTTAACAATAATTGAAGCTTGAGTAACAAAAACAATTTTCCTGATGTCTGCTAAGTGAAACATTAAAGCCACAGCCAGCACACAGATTAAGAGCGATATTCAACATTCCAACAATGGACATGAGGGGTCCTTTAAAGCAAGCCTCTGGTGAAGTCATTTGAAAAAAAATATCAATTGTATGGTTTTAATTGACTTTTTTGTACCATCTGATTGGTGTATCTCCTGCCTCTGAACAAAATGTCTCATCTGAGATATTGGCACTACATTTAATTCACAAATCATAACTTTTCCCTGTGTTTGGCCCTACCTGTAGACTACCCAATTATGTGTTCATTGAAGTTTTCCATCATAATGATTGACCAATAGACGGAGCAGGGAGGGGTGGGCTGAGCAGGACTTTGGGGAAAGTTACTTTTGGCCCCATTCATACTTGGGAATGGGGCCATAAGCAATTACATGTGGGAGACCCAGCAGGTAGCCCCTTTGAAATTAATAGGAGGCTGAGAGCTCCCACAGCTAATTATGGCCGCTGAGATGTAATTGCTCATAATCGCCAGGAACCCCTGTTGAGTCCCTGTCATGTATTCACTAATAGCCCCATTCCAGGGGCAGACTTACAACTCATGGGGCCTCCGGGGAATAGGGGATCATGGGGCCCCTGTGTCCTTGCCCAAACTCAAAAAAGCCTATGAAAAAGGTACCAGGGGCATCTCATGGGGCCCCCTACTGACCCCGGGCCCTCAGGCAGTGCCCAGGTTTCCAAATGGTCAGTCCGCCCCTGCCCCATTCACAAGTGTACATGGTGCCTTAACACTGAACTCCAGGCTATACAACTAAAAATACATATATCAGATCTGATTTGCTTTCCAAAAGATTTGTAGTTCTGTTGCATAGTCCATGACAGCACATGATTGGCTCCTACTGCTGCCCCTCCCTCTACTGGTACTGCTGTGCAGCTGATTACAGAAGGCTGATATCAAGACAGACTCAGGTACTTATACCAGCTGCTGTTTAAAATGGTTTAATACATTGAATGTTTTCTTTTAAGAACATATAAACAGCATTATTTGTGGTTTGTTGTATCTGCTTAGAGTTCAACTTTATGATATAATACCTTACCAGGGACACACCATTAAAATACAACAAGTTCAACAATCAGTATATATAATAAAGCCCACTAAAGCCATTTGTTTGCTTCTGTGTTGATGGTATCACCATAGGCTTACTTTAAATGCTTTTGGAGAAAACAACTTAACTTAGCTTTTTTTAATGTAAATGTGCTGTTTAAAAAATAAATCCCTCTACTCTATAGAAAAAAATACCTGGGCTCATGCAACCAAGCTGGAGTTATTGTTCTCTTTAGGTGGGATCACCATACACTAAAGATACCGCTCCTAACAGCAAACAGGTAAATCTGAGGTCTAAGCTTATTGATGAGGATCAAGTTTGTTTTCTTTTCTAAAATTGTGCTTATCTTTAAAATACACACCAGCCATTCTCAGCCAAGGTTCCGTGGAACCCTGGGGTTCCTCAGGAGGTAGCAAGGGGTTTCTTGAGCTGTGATGTACATCCCTTCTGATGGTGCCTGCATAGTTCCAGATGCAAGGTCACTTGGCAGAACCAGCAGCATGACAGCAAGTGTGGCATTCTGACCATCACTGTTAGGGGGCATTCTTCTCACTGACCAATACCATTGTAAAGGGTATTTGCTCAATGACTCCAATTGACTAATCTGAAAAGGGGTTCCCTGAGACCTTAACATTTTCTTCAAGGGCTCCTCTGGGTTAAAAAGGTTGGCAAAGGCTGCTATACAGAATGCTTCTCAGTCTAGAGTTCAGTTAATGCTTGTGTGAATTAGAAACAAATGTTTAATTGTGACTGGAGTTTACCTTTAAGATGTGAAGTAGAAGAGTAAAGACAGAAATTAAATTTGGCAAGTAAAGGCCAGGCAACTATAGCTGGGAACTTGCTGGATCTCTCCAAGCAATACTATTTTTTTTAGTGCTGTTACCGGTTCTGTTGAAAACTTCAGCAATGAGAATGATTTTGAGCTGGCCTGCTGTGCTGTTGGTACCTGGCCTGTACTTACCACTCTCCAGACAGCATCCCGTTGCTATGACTTCCATTGGCATAGGAGATGGAGTTGAGCAGGCGAGCTGCATTGCTGGGACCAGATTTGTGTTTGCGCCATTAGTCAGCATTCCATATGGCTCCAGGTAATGTTGATGGCCTTCTTGATAAGTGAAGGCAGAAATATTGTCATGTGATGCCCGAAGATACGCTTTTCCATTGAATACATTTTGGCGAATATTGCTAGGCATGCTGCTATTAACCCCATCTCTTACTCCTACTGATTTCTGCAAGGTCCCGGGTATGCCAATCATAAGCAGGACTGCTCAAATAATTGAAAGTATATATATAATTGGATTTGGTAAGTAGGAAGGGCAAAAGAGTAGTTTATGGACATGGGTTAGTTGTAAATAAATAATAACAACGTGGAAGTGTTATGCAGGTTTGAAAATGATTTGTTTGAAAAAACTGCTCCTTGGTTTGTGGTGGTAAATTATAAAACATTTTCCAAAAAAGACTGTACCTTTGATGAATGTTTAGTTCACAGACAATCAATTTGTTACACCAAAACAGTCTGTTTAATGAGAAGCACTTAAATCCTTTGGGATAAGTGGCTGACAGCATTTGTTTTATTGTGCAGAAGGACAGACAGGATAAGAGTAAAAGGGTAAGCAATAATAATGGCAGCAATTGACTAGGATGGGAATATTTATTTTAAATTCTACCTGCCCTGTCAAACTCAGCATGGTAACTGATAGTTGTCACATCCCCAGTACCTCCTTCCATTGAGGTAGCCATCTTTCTCTCCCTGTCACTGTGCCCCTCTGCTGGACTGCATTGGTAATGCTATATATTTTCTTTTGTATATAAATGATACTCTGTTGGATAATTTCGCTCAAGGCTCAGTTCTGCATGAGTATAATGCATCAGACTAATTTGGCTTTCTACCCTTGTTTTGTATCCTTTGTAATAATGGTTTTGTATCGAAATCATTGTTTCTATATTATGGGGCACAAAATGCTTCCTACTCATCTGGAAGTAT